ATATATACACACACACATACATATATTAGTACCAGAGAGGATAGAGCTGCAGAAGGAAGGAATTCTTAACTATTCACGTGAATCCCGTGAGTCTTTGGGTTGATACCAATCTGAGCATGCATGGGGGAAACCTCACAAGGCCAGACAAAAACAGGTTCTGTGGAACAAACTACTGGGGAGCTGTGACATGAACAATCTCAGAGCCCACATAGCTGGGAATCTTGTGAGTTCTCCCCAGAGACCTTACTAAACACAGAAGAATCCAGAGACCACCAAAGATCCCAACTTAGAAGATGGACTAAATTAGCCCACTGTCTTCCAGCAAAGTGATCTTTAAAGTCTCAAACTAATCTTCAAGTAACCAACATCATCCTGCTATTTAAAGTCTGACACTTGGGGTTGGGGTTATAGCTCAAAGGTAGAGTGCTTGCCTTGCCCATGTGAGGCACTGGGTTCAATCCTCAGCACCACATAAAATATATTTAAAATAAATAAAGATATTGTACCTGTCTTTAAAAAATTAAAAAAATTCTCTCTTTAAAAAAAGAAATATAACAAAAGTCTCACAACATAATATACATTTCACAGTGTTCAGTATCTAATAAATGAGTAGACACAAGAAAACTAGAATATGCAAATTAATAAAAATAGAACAACAAATGACAGAAATGATGGAATTAACAAAAAAGGATGTTGAAAGCAATTATATCTATGTACCATGAATTCAAGGATGTAGAGAAAAAAATTAACATTTTCTCGGAAGACGAGATGGTAAAAATTTTAAGGCATGTAGGAACCTATACTCTTTTCACAATTACTCAACTTTGTCAATGTAGTGTGGTAGCAGCAGAGACAATGGGTATGTGTTACGGTTTGGATGCAAAGTGCCCCCAAGAGACTCAAGTGTTGAAGGATTGGTTCTTCAATGAAGCAATGTTCAGAAGTGGGATCTCTCTCTCTCTCTCTCTCTCTCTCTCTCTCTCTCTCTCTCTCCTCCCTCCCAGCTGCCATGAACTGAACAGCTTTCCCATGTCAATCCCTCTCACCATGATATTCTGCCTCACCTAAGGCCCAAAGCAATCGCACGAGCAGACCATGTACTGAAATCTCTGAAACTATGAGCCCAAATAAATATTTTCTCATTTTAAGTTATCTATGTGAGGTATTTTGTCACTGCAATGAAAAGCTGATTAACACAGTGTGACTGAGATTAAGAAACATATTAAATAAAAAAATATACCAGATAAGATTCATATTAGATCAGATATGGCAGAAATATAGATTAGTGAAGTTGAAGATAACAAAAGAAGTTTAAACAAGATATAGTATGGAAAGAAAAGACCTGGGAAAACAATAATAGGGCATCAGTGGGACACTTATCAAGCTGTCTAAAATTCTTCAGTTCAAAAGTAAAAAGAACATGGGATAGAAAATGTTTGGAAATACAAAAACTGAGAAAAATTCCAAATTTGTTAGTATAAATCCAAACATTCAGTAGCTTAAAAATAACCAAGCAGAATTAATATGAAGAAAATAATAAGTATAATCTAATTGCTAAAAAAAACAGTGACAAGAAAATATAAAAACAACACAAGAATAAAAGATGTACCATGTAAAAGGTGCAAAGATAAGAAAAACAACAGACCTCTCAGAGAACCATGCATGTGCCCGAAGTTAATGAAGAGACCCTTTAAAGTCCTGCAAGGGGGTGAAACACTGTCAAGCCAGAATTCTACACCTAGTGAAAATATTGTTCAAATATGAAGGTGAAACAATAAATTTGCACACAGATGAACACCGGAAAAAATTAATCACCAGCAGTTTTGTACTAAAAGAAATATTAAAGGAAAGTGATATCAGAGGAAAGTTTGGAGATGCCCAAAGAAATGACAAGTACCCAAATGGAAAATATGTGGAAAGGTATAAAATATATCTTTAATCTCTTTAGAAGATAACTGCTCTATAGCAAAAATAATAACAATGCATTGTGGGGTTTATAACAAGTAGAAGTAAAATATACGATGACAATAGCAGAAAGGCTAGGACACGGGAAGGGAAGCATACTGTTGGAAAATTATTATGCTCTCCTTAAAAGGATGTAATATTATTTGAAGGTAGAGTCAGATAAGTTAAGGTATGCAAATTGTAAACCCTAGAACAAACACTAAAAAATAATAAAGCAAATACATATGGTTAAAAGATCAACAATGAAGATAAAATGGATTACTAAAAATTACCCACTATAAAAATTGCAGAAAAATATAGGGGAAATGGAAAAAAGAACAGATGTAACAAATGGAAAACAAACAGCCAGGTGACAGATTTAAACCTAGTGTATCAATAGTCATGTTAAATCAAATGAAAATAGTTAAAACATGCCACGTAGAGGCAGAGATGGTTAGGCTGTATGAAAAGTAGCAAGCAAATCTAAGTCGTGGTGGCTAAATCAATATGCGACAAGGCGGATTTATAAACAAAAACCAAAGGTGAAATAGGTCATTTTATAACGATGGAAGGACAAAGTCATCAAGCGGATTTAACAATTTCAAACATGTTTGCATCTAATAATGGAGCTTCAAACTCCAGAAAGCAAACACTGATAGAACTGAAAGGAAAAATACACAGGTTCACAATTATAGTTGGGTATCTTATCCCTTTTTTTAGTACCTAATGGAGCAGGTGAGCAAAATAAATAAATAAATGAATAAATAAATAAATAAATATAAGAAGAAATAGCCTAACTAACATCTGTAGAATACTTTGCCCACCATAAGCAAAGTACACTCTTTTTTCAAGTACATCCCTCACCAAGTCCATATTCTGTGTCATAAAACTATTCTCAATAAATTTAAAATAACCAAAATTATACATGTGTTCTTTTTCTACCAAGGAATTAAATTAGAAATCAGGAACAGAAAGTTGTCTTGAAAATCATCACCATAAACATGGAAATCAAACAACACACATCTATATAACTCAGAGAACAAGGGAAAATTCACAAGGGAAATGAGAACATATTTTGATTCAGGGAAAGCAATATTTTCTGAAGAAAATTAATGGCTTGAAATGCCTGTATTAGTAAATAATAAAAGTTTAGTCAGTGTCCTAGGCTTTTACCCTAAGGAACTAGAAAAGGAGAGGCAAATGAAGCCCAAAGCAAATAGAAATAATAATAACAAAAGATAAACAAATACCAAATAAAATAAATAAATAAATAACAAATAATAAATAAATAAATGTGGGAGGCACTGGGTTCAACCCTCAGCACCACATAAAAATACATAAATGAAATAAATCAAAAAACCCCAAACCATTTACAACTAAAAAAAATTAAAACAAACAAAACATTTTAAAAATATTTTTTAGGGACCAAAAAATATCCCTACCCTTACAGGATTCTCTTATTGCACATGGTTTGTTACTATCTGGTGAGATTTTCATCACAAATACTGGATTTTTTTTTCTTATATTCTATTCAAACTTCTTTTGAAAATTCTAGCCTGTCTCAGGGAATAGGAAGAAAAAAATAAAATAAAAGAGACCTTTATCTGTGTTTGGGCTGACTATAAAGAACAGTACATGTCCCTCAGGAGAAAGGCCAAGTCCAGGGACTACTAAGGGGCAAAGGTCAAAGGTCCCACCACTGGGAAGTCAGGGTCTGGAAGAAGCAATTGTTGCTGACAGAGCTCCCATTGGTTCCATAAGAGCTTTCTTCAAGTGCTTCGTATTCTGTGAACGTGGACATGGGTGGAAAGTAACTACATCAGAGTAAAGCCATTACTCTAAGCATAGTTATGCCAAAATCATTCTGTTATAGGTTGAAATGTTCCTTCCTTCCCAAATTCCTATGATGAAACCCTGACTTCCAGCACCTCCAAATGTGACCTTACTTGTAAATAGGGTCACTGCAGATGTAATTAAATAAAATGTGATCGTACCAGACTAGGATTGAGTCCTAATCCAGTATGACTGCTGTCCCTACATAAAGAGGAGATTTGAAAACAGAAGACACACACAGGGAGGACACACGTGAAGATGAAAACAGAGATCAGGTAACGTTTCCACAAGCCAAGGAACACTGAAGAGTGCCATAAACCACAAGGAGAGAGGCAGGGACAGATTCACCCTCACAGCCCTCAGAAGGAACCAATCTTCTTGAGGCCTTGACTTAGTTCTTCCAGCCTTTGGAACTCCAAGAAGACAAATTTCTGTTGGTTAAGTCACCCCATCTGTGGTGACAAGTTCTTACATATCTTTGGTACCTAGGATCAAAGGGACTGACTGTAACTGACTGCCACCAGCCAACCTAGAAGCTGAATCCAACAACTCCCTTCCTGCTAATTTAACCTGGATAGTGACTTCAGCAAATCCTAGAATGTTGTTTTCTCAACTATGTTAAAGAAAGGAAAACCAAGTGAGTGTAGAAAAAAAGTCATCTAAACTTACTTTCTTACCTTCTGAATCTGAGTTACTGGTCCTTTCAAAAACTAGATAATCATGGGGTTAGCTTCCAATGGGGAGTAAGGAGACAGAGATGCAGAGTTTTAGTAATAGTAGAGAAAGAATAATTAAGAAAGAAAACCCATATCTTGCAAAAGAGCAAAACAGTGCCCTTCAACCTTGTATGTTTACTTTCTGTGTACCTTTCTATGTAAAAACAGTGAATTACATCACATTGAATTTTAGTGTCTGGGTTGACTGGGAAACACCAGCTCCTTATTATTTACCTGGAGTCTGCAGATTTAAGAGCCTTCTTAACCTCAGAATCTCATTACCTGCAGATACTATTCTAGGCCTCCTCCTCAGCCCTCTGTAAACAATGACGAGATGAGCACCAGTAGATAGAAGTAAAGAAAGTGCACTCTTACCTCCATGCTTGTGCTGAATGCTCTAGTAACTTTTGCTTTGATGGTTATAACTTGTCCAACTCTAGCAAAACAAAAAAATTCTTTTTTAGTAATCTGAACACATTTTATTTCAGATTTAAAGATTCACTTAAATCCTTCGTGCCATAAAGTATTTCCACTTTAGCTTGCTGATAATGTTCACATGCAACGCTCAGGTTCATGATAACAGGAAAGACAGGGCTTAAGGGCAAATGCTGATCATCATAAACCACACTCAGGTTAACTGACTCCCTCTATTCAAACAGTAAAAGGACTTTGCAAAGGTAGAATGCAAGATGACTTCAAATTTGCAACAGATACTTGGACTTTTTAATAGCTCTTTCAAGCCACTATACAAGTTAAGACAAACACACAGGCAAACTGATACAATTTTTATTTATTTTAAAATATTAATAAGTAAATGGATGAACAAACTACAAATAAGCAAGCAAGTCCACTGGTTAATTTTGATAGGTTTACATGGGTCCTCATTGCTGCTAGAAGAGCCATTCATTCCCGGCTACTACTAGAACTCTGATTATGTAATTTGAAGTTGTTTCAAAACTCTTGTATTCAGGCCCTTCTGTCACTTCTGATCCCTTCGCCCTAGCAGAAGTTAAGAATCTGTCCAATATGAGCACCCTCGATTTTTCTCCCTTAACTGCAAAATTGAACTATATTCTCAGTGTCTTCAGAGACACCGAGACTCTTCTACTTCAGAGGAAGTAGAAGGTCTCCTCAAGACCTGATCTCCTGTCTTACCTGTGCTCTTGACCTTTCCTCTCCTCTGTCATTTCTACTCTCTTTTGCACCTTCCATCTCTACCCTTCTCTCTTTTTTACTCTTTGAAAATGTTTAAGGCTTCTCCTATTTAAAACCTTTCTTTAAAACCTATTCTATTTTGATATATTTTTTTTTCTCTTCTGCATATGAAACTCTCCTAAAAGAATCATTGATTTTTCTACCTCACACATTTAATGACTGTTTACTGAGGACTAGCTCTGGTGTTCAGCTAAGGTGTTAGGTACAGTGATGGGCAAGACTGGGTTGCTGGCTTCAAGGAGACTAATGTTTCTTCGGGACACAGATGTGTAAACAGACAAAGTTCAAAATATTATAAAAGACTGATCAATAAATCATTAACAATAAAAGCCCTTGTCATTAATTAAACAAAGTACTGTTTCTAGTGTGGCCATTGTAGTAACTATGACTGTCCTTTATTAGTACTATGTGTAAATCAGGCACTAAGCTGAATGCTTTGTATAATATCTGACATGTCACTCACTGGCAAGGACCCTGTGAGGGAAGTAGTACTGTTCCCATTTCATTCCCATCAGGAAATGGGCTTACAAGGCAATGGAGTCAGCAAAAGGCAGAGCCAGAGTTCAAACCCTGGTCTTATCTGACTTCGAAGGCTTGAACTATTCTTTACCAAGGCCCGACTTGGGCTCTTGGTAATTCCATTTTAACATAATTAATTTAATCACCTCTAGAAAGGCTTGTGAAGATATATTAAGGACTGTCTACAAAGTGAATCAGTTGGGTTTGCCTAGAAGAGTGACCACATCTGATTAATGCCTTTGTGCATACATTGCTCCTCTACGTAGTGTACCTGTCATAATCTGTAGCATTTCAATCAGAAAGACTGGAAGTAAAGGAAGGAATTTAACATAGACATGCAGATGTATATTTAAGTAATTAATAACTATGTGGGAAATCTGAACAAATCTATGCTTTTATCACAATTTTACTAGTCCTTTGCCCACATAATAATCCTCACAGAGAAGAATTTGTCAATGTCTAATAAAATGAAATGTACCTTTACCCTTTGACTCAGTAATCCTCTTTTTAGGACTCTATCCCAAAAATACACTGTAAAATCGTGGACATATGCCTGCACAAAACGACATTTTGAAATATTTGTAATAGCAAAAACTGGAAACAATTTTAAAATTTATCAGTAGGGACCAGAGGAAAAAAATAAGGCATATACACAATGGACTACCATGTAGCTAATTACAAGGAATTCTGAATATCTCTTTACATTGCTAAAGAATGTTTTTCTATATATAATATTAAGAAAAAAAGGTGGAGAAAAGTATATACAATGTGTTAGAATTCGCTTTTAAAAGGACATGAATATGTAAAAACTTGTTTACATTTAAAAAATTTTTTAAAGTCAGAAAGTAATTAAAATGGCTATTTATAGAAAGAGAAAGATGCTTGGATAGAAGCTAGATAAGAGCTTTATTTCCCAGAGCCAAATGTATCTGGTTTCCAATTAAATTATAAAATAAAATAAAAAATTAATTCCAAAAAATAAAAAAACAATTGAACTTATCTACATGTGAAGTTGGCAATTTAACCATGTAGGAGAGAATTATTTCAAGTGGCTTCAAAATACAGTGATTGTTGTTATATTACTATGTCTTTCAAAAGTGTACTGATCTTTTAGAAATATATACTGATAATTATAGATAATGATTGGAATTTGCTTCAGAATAACCCAGTCATGTAGGGAAACATAGAAGGGTACAAGAGTGTGCAAGATTTGATTATTGATGTAGTTAGGAGATAAGTCCCTGGGATACACTATACAATTTTCTCTAATTTTACATATGCTTGAATTATTTGTTTACTTGAAATTTTCTGCATAATGAGTTGGTAAAGCATATTAAGCACTCTCACACATAAAATGTTTTTCATATTTTACTGTCTCTATTCAGATGAATTAGTGTTTAGCCAACCTAATGACGAAATTCACCATTGTAGAGACACTTACCATCATTAATTATTCTATAAGTAGAGAAAGGAGCCATTAAGAGGTGCCAGATAGCTTGCTATGCATGACTCCACAATGCATCTCATGCTGAGAGTTGCTTCTCAACAAAATCGTGAATGGGATTTTACACCTATAATGTTGACTAAAGGTAGGCACTACTAAAGGTAGTGTGTTTTAAAATTTAAAATGTAATTTGTTTTATTAATAGGATCATGGACCCCAAACAAATAAGGTGCCACAAATATATGTCACAACCAACATAATAAACCTGGGAGAAAAGTGAAAGAGTAATATCACTTACTTAACTGTTTCCTCAAATTGAATGTCATCCACTGAGGCTGTGACACAGGAAACCCCGGCATGTTTTTCAGCTTCAAAAAAAATAGGTAAACGTGTTTGTTAGTAATAGTTATGTTTGAATATTTCAATTCATTTTAAGAGAAAAGGAATTAAATTTCAGAAGATTTATTTAATTTACCCATTCACTCATTCAATAGAACACCACTGTGCCCACACTTTCTGGATGATGTCAGTTTATGAGAGTTTCTTTGTTCTTTAAGTTATGCTTTTATTGCATTGCAATTACTATACTTTCTCCTAATTTTTCCCCAGTTCTGGGGACTGAATTCAGTGTTTCAGGCATGCTATGTAAGCATTCTCAGCCATACCCCCAGATCTTCTTATTTTATTTTGAGACTGGGTCTCACGACATTGCTGAGGATGGCTTTGAACTTGCAATCCTCCTGCCTCAGCCTGCTGAGTAGCTGAAATTATAGCCATGCCATTGTGCCTGGCTACTTTCTCCTAAATTTTAACTTACTTGATCTTTGCTTTAAATTTCAATACCAATACTCAGAAAATCTGGCAATTATAGATAACATTTTTTAGGAAGTTGTCACTGACTTTATTTTGTCAGGAAATATGCTTCTTTCGTTTTTAAAACAACACACCAAAGTTATTTCTATTGCAGTTGAATGAATTTAAATCACTTAATAATAAGTATGGGAGACCCTGACATCATCTTCCAAATCACAGATGCACCAGAAACAGATGGTGCATGGATGGGAACAAGGAGGTATTTAGTCAATATTTATTATTTTTACCAGCTTCACACCAAATTCACTCTGCATTAATTATGTTGGAGGGGAGAGTATTGAGCAGGGTGGAGAGTTTATCAGCTCCTCAACTTAATGTTCCATATCAGCACTTAATTTATTCAGAATATTTTTGGATCGTTGGTTTTGCTTTATATGAAAATACAATGATTTATATTATTTGGAAAATACAATTTTTTCCTAAAGTATTCTTAGTTGCAGATGGACACAATACCTTTATTTAATTTATTTATTTTTTATATGGTGCTGAGAATCTAACCCAATGCCTCACAAATGCAAGGCAAGTGCTCTATCACTGAGCTACAACCCCAGTCCCCCATAGGTGTCCTTTTACTGTTTTTCAGGTAACTACTGAACACTTTCAAATATACGTTGTAAAACATTGACTAAAAAGTATCCCCAAACATTCATTTCAGTTGACTAACATAAGAAAATGGGATATTGATGTAATTAAACTACTCTTATTAATAAATTTTTATTAATTGAGTTGCCAATTTTGAATGATTTAAATGATAACTAAAATGCAGTAACCAATAAAATATTAATTTTTATTATGTCTATTAGAATCTACAGTGTGTCATAGCACTATACTAGATCAAGAAGAAACATAAACAGAGAAACAGCTAACATTTACTAAGTACTGAGCTAAGTATTTACACTTGTCAATCACAAGTCTGGTTCTGTTTTATAAATTAGGACATTTAGGCTTAAAAGATTAAACATGTTGTTCTAAATAGTGATTTTTTTGACTATAACAGTAATAGAAACTCTCAGAAAAGAGTAGGGTAGACCAAACAGAGAATGCTACTAAAGAACTTGGCTGAAAATGGGCCTTAATAGCCACAGTTTATACTACAAATTTTTAAGAACCATAAAATAATAAGAAAGAATAAAAAAATATGGGGGACCAACATTGGGTCCACAAATTTTGCTTGTGACCAGCTTATTCTGGTTTTGAAACAGTAGCTTTAAAATTCATTTCAGTAGTCACATCATGCACTCAGTTGCCTTGGAAACAGGCACCATTATTACTAGCAACTTCAAGGATTTTAATACTCATTTCTTTTTCTTACATGCAGATTAACTTCATATTCGTGTTCCCATTATTATGTTATTATAACCAAAACTCAAATCCTGTTAAAAACTGTTAAGATAGAAACCAAACAGATTAGCAAACAAAGCAAACAAATAGATTGACTTCAAATATATAGCTGAGTTTTGCAGATGGTTAAGACAAAAGGTATTAGAAACTCTGTTAACACTAAGAAAAGCAGAGTTTTGTAATCATCTGAGTTTTGCTTTCATCATCTGTAAAATAAGGGCCCTGAAACACATGATGTTTAAAGCCACTTCCAACTCTAATATTTTATCTTCACATATATTGTTTTTAAATGTACATTTTCTAAGTCTCAGGTTTCACATATAAACTCTGGATTCCTTTTGGACATGAGAACTCAAATTGTAGGACCATCCAGATAACCAGAAGTCTTTTAGTAAGCATTAAGCAGTGGAGAACTAGCTTAGTTTACGTGATAACTGGCCAGTCCGAAAATAAAGACGTGAACAAACAAATAGACAAAATAGTTAGATTGGGCTAAGTGTTATGAAGGAAGTTGGACAGGGCATTGGAAGTAAAGTGATGAATGGGTACAGAAGTAAATAGGTGAGCAGGAAATTCTTCTCTGAGGAAATGACATTTAAGCTGAGATGTAATGCATGGAAAGGTCCAAGAAAAGAGTGTAAAAGCAAAAATAAGAGCATGAAATTATGGCATTTGCCAGTAAATGGATGGAGCTGGAGAATATTATGTTAAGTGAAATAAGCCAATTCCAAAGGCCAAATGTTTTCTCTGATATACAGATACTAACTGACAATGGGTGGGGGTGGCTAGGGAAGAATAGAGATACTTTGGATTAACAGAGGGGAATGAAGGGAGGGGAGGGGATATGGGGATATGAAGGATAGTAGAATGAATCAGACATTATTACCCTATATGCATATATGATTAGATGACCAGTCTAACTCTACATTGTGTACAACAAGAGAATGAGGAGCTATACTCCATTTATGTATGATGTATCAAAATGCATTATTTTGTCATATAAAACTAATTAGAACAAATAAAAAATTATTAAGAAAAAGAGAAGAGCAAGTGCCAAGGCCTGAGAAAAGAAAAGGTGAGCATGTCCTGGGAAATGTGGAAGCCTAGTATTGCTGGATCCTATGAACTAGGAGGAGATTGGTACCAAACCAACGGGAGACAGGAACTATACCCGTGGCCCCAGTCCATGATACAAGGTTTGTCTGAGCAGCATAATGTTATACTTTTTCTTGGTGTTAATGTACTTTGGTAGGGGATCCTACAGATTACCAGGTAACCACCACTGTCTCCCTGAAGTCCTCAGCTGGACTCAGACTCATCTCACATTTATGGTTACTTGGCTGGCTCCTATGTGAATTTCCAACTTCAACTAGAATCTATAAAGAATGACAAAAGGTTTGGGTTTCACCTCAAGTGTGATGAGAGGGCACTGAAAGGTTTTAAGCTGGGGAGTGGTGGGATGTGATCCCTATACCTAAAGTCCACTCTAACCTCTGTGCAGAGACTAGGTCCCAGGAGGTCAGATGGAGAAAGGGAAGCCAAAGGAAGGTTTGCAGGAGTGAGGGCTGGTGGGACTTTTTGGTACTAAAGATTGTGTTCATCAGGACTGGGGCTGTGGCTCATCTGTAGAGTGTTCCCCTAGCCTGTGCAAGGTTTGATCCTCAGTACCTCATAAAAAATAAATGAATAAATAAAATAAAGGTATTGTGTCCAACTAAAACTAAAACAAAAATTTTAAAAAATTGTGTTTATCACTGATCTGAAGATGGGAGAAGTCATTAGGCGGAGAAGACCAACTTCTCAAAAATACTGCCTCACCCAGCCTTTCCATTAGAACATCATTTACATGATAACCTGCTATTTTTGAAAATGGAGTCTTTTTACCTAGACATAAGTATTAGGCAGGTTCTCAGTGGTCTGGAAAAGATTCAGAGGTCAAAACTATTTTCATGGGGCTGGGGTGGTAGCTCAGCAGTAGAGCACTCGCCTAGCATGTTCAAGGCCTGGTTCAATCCTTAGCATCACGTAAAAATAAATAAATAAAATAAAGGTATTGTGACCACCTACAACTAAAAACTCTTTTCATAATAATACTAAGAGGTTTCCTTTGTCTGCTTGAGTTAGGACCAAATACCATATACTGGGTGTCTCAAACAATAGAAATTTCTCATAGGTCTGTAGGCTGTGAAGTTCAAGCTTGCCACTTAGGTCCTGGAGGGGCTCTCCTCCTGGCTTGCAGATATCTGTCTTCTTGCTGTGGTCTCACATGTCAGAGACGAAGCTATCCATTTCTAAGCCTATATGAATATTAAACCTATGGGATCAGGACTCCACCCATATGACCTTATTTAACCTTAATTACTTTTTTACCGCAAATACAGCCACACTGGGGGTTAGAGCTTCAACACATTAATTTTGGGGAAGGGGAAGGGCACCATTCAGTCCATAGTAGATGTATTGCCATCCTCATTCTCAGAAGAATACAGCAGAGTCTTCCAGTGACTACATAATAATGTGTTAGCAACAAATTGAACAGCAGAAAGAAATCTGATAAGTGAGTAGTCCTCTACTAAACCAAACATTAAAACAATTTGCAAAAGTGCAAACTATTATCACTCTTTTAAGTACAGTTTTGGTACTGTTGAAAATCTAATTATTTTTCAATAAGAATATGTTGTATTAACATGTAATGGATTCTTTTAAAAAACGTAATGGAGTTTTCTTTTTAAATGAATTAAATTCTGTGGCATTTTTTGTAAGGTAAATATCGATATAAGTAACCTACTACACACATATTTCTCACTCATTCTTTCATGGGATGAAGGAACCCTAAATCCAAAGCATCTACGTCATTGTCAGGTGAACTATCTCAGACATCACTGCCCCTGTCTGCACAGGTCTCACAGCTCTGTAAAGTTGGATCCTCCCCTTCCTTCTTCTCGGGCTGTTCCCAGGCTCCCACATCTCGGGCCAACCTGCATCCCCACAAGCCAACGCAACCCAAGGCCAGCTCTCCACTCCACTGCACTCTGGATTCCGCACCACCACCGTCCCTCGCCACTCTTAGCCTTCAGCGCATCGCAGCCCAGAGACGTCCAGCAGCCCGCCCGGCAGCCGCCGGCTCCCCTCGGCCGCCCTGGCCGCTGCGCCTACCGGCCAGGCAGGCGGTGGTGTCAATCCACTTGAGCAGCTGCCCGGCGCTCAGCTCCCCGCGGGCGTTGGCGTGCGCCGGCTGGATGGCCTGGCTCATGCGCACCTCGCCCGGCGCCGCCAGCCGCTCCATGTCCAGGCCGAGAGAGGGGAGCCCCGGGCTCGGGGCGCCTGGCCTGGAGGTGTCCGCCCGCCGGGCCCGCCCCCGTTCCAAAGGGCGCCGCCCGCTCTGGTTGCGAACCCCACTCCCACTCCCCCGCAGCCAGGTGCTTCGGGAGGTGAGAGTTCAGGTGCTGGCAGTGTTGTCCCTGACCAGCGGGGAGGTGAAGGAGCACGCTTTTCTGCCTAGGAAGAAGCCGGGGAACCGTCCGATATCTCCGGAGAGAAAAGTGCTTCTCTCTCTGAGAACCGTGCACAGAATTTAGTGAGAGCGCGCGGGGAAGTGTGCACCTACCTGGCTAAAGGATTATAGGTATTTACTAAGCAAATAAATACAGTGATCGTCTGTCTGCAGAACTTGACAGGCGAGGAGGCAATAAATAGTGATTAAATCCTCTCCAGAGAATGTAAAACGTTTGCTTTAGCCACTGATTTAAGAGTGCTTCACTTTCGTTGTTTGTTTAGTTGGGTTTTGTTTGCTGCTTGCCAGGCCACATAGGCACTCACTGCTTAAGCCCTAGTTCAAAATCCACCTTCTGACTCTTAGAATATTATAGTGGATCCAAAGATCATTTGTTAGGAAATGGTTTCCTCTGTCAAGCAAACCAAGTAAAAGGGGCGGGGGCTCAGGGAGGCTGAGGCTTGGAGGTGGATCAGAGTCACCTAAAAAGAAAAGGTTTGTTTTGGGTTTCATCTAGAGTTTAAAACTGGAGACTTCCCATCTTGTTAGGAATAGTCCCCACGCTTCCCAAAAGAATCTGAATCTTTTTTATTTTTTTTTTAAACCGGGGGATAAACCCCAGATGAGAGTTTTTCATGCTCAGCAACAAAAGTTGTTACACTTCCTAGAGCTGCAATCACTAATGTTACAGAGCAGTTCTCACTAGAGAAACCATGACCTCAGAAAACCTCCAGCATATACTAGATCTATGGATGTTTCATTGTTAGGGCAGGCTGTCATGGGGAGCATATTTAGTGATGAAGAAAAGGATGATTGGAGAAGGAGGCAAAGGGTCTGACATGCAGCTAAGCGGGTAGGACCGCCTGACTTCCTAGGGAGTTTACCAAGAAATCTAATGGCCTTTAATGACTAGGTGGTGCTTTTTCATCCTCATATCTTTAGGCTGCCAAGCCCCAGCATGGAGAGAGCAAAATGGAGATTCTGATAATTGCACTTTATATATATATATATTCATTTTTGTTATATATTATTTTATATATAATAAAAAATGAATATACATATATTCATTTTTTATTATATATAAAATAATTTATATATATATATATATTCATATATATAGAATGAGAGAAAATAAAGAAACATTGACTCAATAGTTTTAGAATTTTCCTAGCCCTTATAAGCATAAATAAAAATGTGATGCATTCCATTAGCCAAGTATAAAGCTTGGCTTTTATAAAAAGCATAAAAATGACTATTTGGCATGAATATGGGGGATGGGTTCTCCCGTATTACTCGGACTAGTCTCAAATTCATGATCTTCCCACCACAGTCTCCTGAGTAGCTGGAATTACAGTCTACTGTGCCCTGCTAAAAATAGCTCCTTAAAAAATAAAGGGGGCCTGGGTTGTGGCTCAGTGGTAGAGTACTGGCCAAGCATACATGAGGCATTGGCTTTGATCTGGGCACTACATAAAAATAAAAATAAAATCAAGATAAAGGTATTGTGTCCATCTACAACTAAAAAAAATATTTAAAAAGAAAATTAATTAAAGGGATTGGGGTTGTAGTTCAATGGTAGAGTGCTTTTCTTGCTCTTGCATGTGTGAGGCCCTGGGTTCGATCTTCAGTACCACATAAAGATAAATAAATAAAATAAAGGTATTGTATCCATCTACAACTACAAAAACATATTTAAAAAAAATACATTAGAGGCTGGGGCTCTGGCTCAGCAGCAGTGCACCTGCCTGGCGTGAGTGAGGCACTGAGTTTGATTCTTAGCACTGCATGTAAATAAATAAAATAAAGGTATATCTACAACTAAAAACATATTTTAAAATTAATTAATTAATTAAAGCTTCTGCATCCCAGATAGTCCTCTTTTGTAACTATACTCATTTGAATTATAATGCTATCATATTGATAGTTTGTTTGGCAATTCTCTTGGAAAAGCGGAAAATACCTGTAGAATTCTTAATACCTTTTTTCAATATCTTCTGTATTGACGAATCAATTTAGGAATCGGTAGATTGGATTGTTGTTCATCACATAATCCGTCTACTGATAACATCACATAATCCGTCTACTGAATTTATTGATGGTGGACTTGGCCAGGAGACTTACCCTGGAATGGAAGGTGGGGAGATAACAGTGTATCAGTTCTAAGCCTTGCCCTTAGAGGAACCATGTATTTCTGTCCTCAGGAACATCTGACTTCTGCCATAAGAAGATTATATACCTAATTAGAAGCCTGTTGGCATCTGACTGAATTCACATAGTGGTGAGCCATTCCAGTCGATCTGCAGATAGGAAGGTTTATGAATGAGACATAACTACAGTTGTGTGCCACTGTGATATTTGGGGTTGTCTGTTACACAGTAATAACTAACCATTACACAAGTGAATTTTATTGTTTAATATTTTAAGAAATTTATTAAATTATTGGAAATAAAGCTTATGTTTAGGCTAAGCTGTATTATTATTTAGTAAAAAGTGGTGACTGAAAAACTGAAGTGTATATTTCAATATTGAATTATGTGTATGCTGTTATACTTGATTTCTTAAAATTCAGAAATTTCAAAAATGTTTAAGCATAGGTGTAAGAAGGTAGCTTTCCAAAGTGATTATCTGAAAGGGGATAGTATGCATCTGTATATGTATGTCTAGAGATGACTGATTGATCAAAAAGCAGACCCAGTATATACAAACTCATGATTATATTTTCTTATCTTTATTATCTTCTGTTTATATGTCTTTTTATTATAGCTTCATCTCTTTTGTTGGCTTCATACTGATATTCATTTTAATAGCCCCTGCCAGAAACTACTGTTTTTGTATTTTTCTGAATGGTGTTTCTCTCCCTTTCACATGAAAATGTCATCTGCATGTGTGAACATTTGCTATCTCCACTTCTCTCTGATGTCAAGGATTTTTGTTATTATGTTGGAAGAAAAGGCCTCCATTTTCCATTTGTGTTCAGAGACATCTTTGAATGTGAGCAGAATGTGAAGCTAGCCTGATTTTAAAAGGTCATGCACAAGTGTAGGAAAACTTACCAAGCAGAGAAGCAAAAGTTCCATAATTGCTAAAATAATGAGGAAGTCTTCAGAGTGCTACAATGGGAAAGGAAGCTGGACATCCTAAACCCTCATCCAAGTATGGGGAAATTGTGTCTGCCCTGGTTCAGCAGGTAGGGACGGGTCTTGTGAAAACTAAGAGCACAGAATACAAGAAGTGAGATAGGAAAACAACTCTTTCCAGATGCAGACTCCTGAATAAGAATTTGGGAACTAGCAGTTTATTCAAGGGGAACTTCAGAAGGTCCTGGTAGAGTCCCCAAGTGAGGTCCCCAGGTTTGCAGCATGGACATCACCTGGAAGCTTGTTGGAGATGCAGAAGCTGGAGTTTTTCCTCTGGCTTGAATCCTCCACTGATTAAGGGTTGCTCTCAGACACTTAAAGTCCCAGGACTTCTGCTGACTGCTGGGCAAGATCTAGCTCTCAGATGGCACTTCCCCTTGGCAGGGCAGGAGGATACTGTCAGCTTGCATTTGGGCATGCCCTGGAGATTTGCCAAAGCCCTGCAGACAGGCATGGAGAGCTGAATATTCACCCTGCCCTGAACTGAGTGGCAGCTGGGAGCCTTTTCGTTGTAGGAGACAAATCCCAGGCAGAGAGTTTGGTCGCTCCGGGTATTTCATACAGTGATTAGCTTTATTAACAATCAGACTGTCTCCACCTTTGATATGAAAAGTACCAGGTCAATGTTTTCAAATACAATTTCATAAGAATATGATTCAAAATTATAGAGAGCTCCTGAGTAAAAATTGCAGAACTTGTTTTCTTATGTTTGTGCTGCCAAATTCTTGATTAGAATGTCTCCTACTCTTCTCTACCCTGGACACTGCTCAAGGGATGATGACTCTGACCTTGGAGCATGTGGGTGCCCTGCTTGCACTGTTTCATTTAGCACCTGGATCCTCACGCTGACCTTTCTCCCATTTGTCTCTGGACATTCAGACTCACCTAATGTGTGCGGAGTGTAATACTTTGTTTTGTTTGAACAAAAGCCATGTGTAACAAAGTTTAATTTTCTTTTTATCTCCTCAGATTTGCATGATCCCACAGGCCCTTGATCAATGCTCAGGGGAGTCCCCCTGACTGCCACCACTACTGCCATCATTGATTGTTTTCAAATACTGTATCCCATTTTGTCATGACATATAGTTCTTTCATGTACTGCTGATTTCTACTTCCTAATATTTTGTTGAAGATTTTGACATCAACATTTTTTAGATATATTGGTCTGTAGATGTTCCCCATCCCTCCCTGCCTCTCTCCCTCCCCCTCTCCCTATCTCTCTCTCTCTCCCTCACCCTTTCCTTCCCTCCCTCCTTTGAACTGTCTTTGTATGGTTTTTGTGTCAGGTTCATAAAATGAGCTGGGAAATGCTCCCCTCAGTATTCTGGAGGAGATTATGTAGATTTGATATCCTTTAAACAACTATCTGAACCCGGGAGATTTCATTTTTGGAAATTTTAAAATTATGGAATCATTTTTTAAAAAAATATTTATTGGACTACTCAAATTATCTAGTTCAATCTGGGGTGATTCGTGGTCATGTCTGGTTTGGCCTGCTTTATATTGAGAAGGTGATTTGCTATAGGCAGAGCTGAGCTCAAGTCTGACTTGGTGCCATTCTCCCACTTGGCAGAGCAGTCTCATCTCAACTTGGTCCTGACAGCTCTTACTTCCTGCCCCTGATCTCTCTGGTCTCCAGACCACAGGTTTTCTTGC